GATTTTATTTATTTCTTTGTCAGGGAGAGACATAGCGAGAGAGGGAACACAAGCAAGGGGAGTGGGAGAGGGAGAAGGCTTCCCGTGGAGCAGGGAGCCCGATGCGGGGCTCGATTCCAGGACCCCGGGATCATGACCTGAGCCGAAGGCAGACGCTTAACGACTGAGCCACCCAGGCGCCCCCCTCTCTCTCAATTTTTAGAAGATTATTTTCTGGAAATAATTGTACTGGTACTGGGCTGAACTTCTGCCGCAGCTGAAATCATGTCCTGCAACTGCTACAGAGAATTATCAGTTCCATACATGACGTGCAGGGTTCTCAACTGTACCAAGCACTTCCTGAGCAGCACCAATGGGCACATGCGTGCGGATCCCAGCAGCCGCAGCTCAGCGTTGCACAGAATGTGGTCCTGGAGTCTGTCACCCGAGACCATTACTGCTCGGACCTGGACAGGCGCTCACCTGTCCCGACCAGGCAACTAACTAGCGGCATCATCTGAGTTTAAATGGCTAACTTCCAACTCTGTCATTCCTCTCCTTCTCCAGTACCTTCTAGTCCTGTCCCCAATTTTTAACTTTTCATCTGCTTATAGCTACTACTCCATTTTCACCCACATTTCAACCCCAGCCCAGAAAACAGAGGAGTGAATAATGGGATGAATGTTCTCAATTAGAGCCAATACTCTCTCTCAAAGTTTTCAAATTTTCCATATAGGACCAAAGTAGATACCAAGCAGGATGTTATCAATGCTCCTCCCTTTTTTAGTGAATAAAACTGGTTTAAATGACAAGAACTGTGAAGACACAAACACCACATTTGCTTTAAAGTCTTTATTATCCTGAATACAAAAGACAGAAGTCCTTTAGGATAGAACAGAGTTCTTTATGTGGAAACATTATTTTTTTTTTACAAGTGAAAAAATAAATACCTCTTGGAATAAAGGCTTATATGCTAATATGTGCCATAAAAAAGTAGAGTTTTAATATTTGACAAAATGTCTGTGCAAAGAAACAAATGCATAAACACATTACTGCTACATTAAGGCAATATGAAAAGTATACTCGGAAATCTCAGTAAAGTGACAGTGTAGGTTTCTAGCTTTCATTTAGCTAGTATTGCACCCAATAAGGTCATCTAGGTGTTCCGACGTCCTAGAAAACCCACAAGCTGACCAGCGTCCAAAATGCCCAAGTGGGAGTGGAAAACATGATTAAGAATATAGAAATAAAGAAACTCGAAACCCCTCAAAGACCTAGGGAGGAGACAACCGAGAGTTAATACTTAAGCATTTACTACAAAAAAAAAAAGCATACAATAATCTAAGATACCTACAATAAGGCTATAAAAAGGCTTGATGGCTCGAGCAAAAGCGACCCCAGTGGCTGAAGCTGGAGTGGAATTTTTGAGAAAAGCGGAGAGCCCTCTGGTTGGTACACCATGAAGCTTCATCTCCGCGAGCAATGCTCTGCTCCCCCAGGAACGTGCAGTCCCTTTTCAACTTAAATAAAATATCCCACCAACTCAAAGAGCCCAAGGAGTGCGGACTACTCCACAGAAATCTTATAACCAGACTGGTAGCATTTTATAATCGAAAGACTTGGGGGAGGGAAGGGGGCGGGGACGGGGGAAAGGAAGCCGTACTGAGTTCTCTGTTTCACAAGCCAGGCTGGTTTACATCTGACAGCCTGGTTGTCAACTTTTTAAAAGTCACAGAATTGATCTCTACATCTGTTCGCCTTCCAATCATTCTTGAGCAAGTAATAAAAACAGAAATGATATTAAAATGACTGTTTCTTTAAGAAAAATTTCCTATTAAAATGTTCAGAGCTCCATGACCGTACAAAAAGAACCAAGTAAATTCTTAAAATGAACTCTTACAAAATTTGCTGCCAAGTAGGAAACTTACACCTCGGGATACATCAGGATACTTAACGATATCCTTTCCTAAAAGGTACCCACGTTTTGGCTCTGCAGCCGCTTAACTGACATCACAGATTTCACATATTCCTTTAACTTGATCACAAGAAGAGTAAATCCAACGACCGTGTCCGTGGCCCAGAACTATTCCCGGCCCCCACCACTGCAGGTGCGGATTCTACGCGTGGTATGTTTTGGTGGGGAGGAGTATTCTTTTTATTCTTCCTTTTCTTTTTTTTAAATGTTGCATGGCAGATGGGTGTCGGAGTATTTATGTTCTCCACGATCTATCATTTGTACAGTTTAGTGGTAGCGCAGTCCGTGGAAACGTGGCACGTCCCGTTAGGTGCACTGCACGTCAGATCACGGTCAGGTTGAGCAGACTGGTGTGGGTCGGCAGATAGACGTGCTGCACGTGCTCCACCGTCGACCTGCAGACTGGACACGACTGGAAAAGAGAAGCCCACCGTACTGGTTAGGACACCTGCGGGGCTGTGTCTTCAGTACTCATGCGCGGCACCTACTCTATTCCGTTCGCTACCTAAGTTGTGGCCACGACTATTTCTAGCTCTCAAGTGGTAGAGATCGTTGCTCTCTCTTTTTTTTTTTCGAGATTTTATTTATTTGACAGAGAGAGAGAGAGTGAGAGCGAGAGCATGCATGAGCAGGGGGAGGGGCAGAGGGAGAAACAGGCTCCCCGCTAAGCAGGGAGCCCGATATGGGGCTTGATCCCAGGACCCTGGGACCATGACCTAAGCTGAAGACAGACGCTCAACCCACTGAGCCACCCAGGCGCCCCGGTATCTTTGCTTTCTAATGGGTCTGAAAGTCTATACCTTACAAGGGATTCAAAATATTATGAAAAAGTATAAACTGCACGCAATTACTTAGGTTTTTAGTCCCACTCTAACCCAGGCACAATGAGTAAAGTGATTAGCAAAGAATTCCTGCTGTGTAGCGAGGCTTGGTCCTTGCGTGGGCAGAGTGCGATCCCTCTGGCAGTGATGTAGGAGACCTGAGACCCTTCCAGAGTCTGGGTGTCCCTGGCTCAGTGGGCTGACCCAGGCCAGTGCCACTGGGTTGATGCCACGGGGCCAGTGAACTTGGCTCTGCTCCGAATCCCAGGTCATAGCTCCACATCCCTGGCTGGCTTCTCAGCAAGCTCGGGCCCCTCCCTCAGCCACAGGGAAGCTTTAGGCATGGGGGTCCGACCATGAAAAAGGCAAATCCCTGACCTACCGCTCCTGGAGAAATAACTCCTTGTTATTAACTCATTACTCTTAGGAAGGACAAAGGCATCCTGCCGGCTCAGTATATAACCCTAAAACTAGTTCTGAAATTAGCAGCTTTTGAAGGACGAGGTATTATTTAGGGCTAATTCTGAAATAAAACCACAGTGACATTTAGCAAACAGTTCTTAGAAATGACAACAAATTGAAAAAATTATTGTAAGGGGAAATGTAAGGTGCAAGAAAGGAAAACATACATGCGTTGCTTTTTTTTTTTTTGTATTAATATTAAAATTAGTTTGACTTGCTAACTAAGAGCCAATCCAAGATGCCCCTTGAGGCATAGGCAGCAATAAAAGGAAATTAATCACAAATCATCACAGTCAACGATCCCCCCACAGAACTGAAAGTGAGCTCTAACTACCGCTTCTTAGTATTCTTTTTCAAATATTTTAAGTAAATAATAAAGACCATCCTCCTAAGTGTCAGGAAGCAGGAAGCCATGGTTCTAGCCTCCGGCTCACCTGCTTACTAGATGTGTTACCTTGGGAATCTGAGCCTCCTTTCCAGAACCTGAAAAAAGTCTAGGACTTAGAGCAATTACGTTGTTGAAAATAGTGTGCTAATCCAGAATGTTTCCCAAGAGCAGTACCTGTGAAGTCCCCAAATAGGAAGCCCCTTCCCAGGTGTCCAGGTGTAGCTGGGCATTCCAGCTTGCACCTGGTGCATGCACCTGGTGCATGGCAGGTGCTCATCGACCGTGAACGGCGGGATGAGCGAGCCTGCCGCGGAAGAGCCGCCGCCGAGCACCCCTCACCTGCAGCTGGGTGGCACAGCCCTCACAGCACACAGTGTGGCCGCAAGGGCAGAAGGCCGAGTTGATCTCCTCCTCACAGCACACCATGCACAGCATGGCCTCCTTCAGCTTGCGCAGCTTCTCCTGGAGCGCCCTGGTCTGCTGGCAGCTGAGGCCCTCACAGCTGGCGCAGTTCATGCTGCTCTCCGAGGACTTCAGCGGGGAGTTTGGAGGGCTGTGCTCGCTTCTCGTGACGAGGTCCACGACACCAGCATTGTACAGAGCCCTCCTGGCGTGGTCGTAGACCTCCTTTGACGTTCTTTTAATATCGAAGACATACTTCTTGCCAAGGTTAATATTTTCATTCAGAAACAGAGAGGCCAAGTGGCCCTTCAGGTCTCGGCTGTACTGCATCATGACGGCACTGGTCACCGTGTCACACCTGCAGGGACAGATGGAACGTCCGCTTCAGTACCGACAAGCCCGCGCATTCCCGAGACTCAGACCTTCAAATGCTACTGTGCCCAAGAATGTTCGTGTCAGCAGACGTTTGTACTCTTGCTTGCGTGCCCCAAAGTAAATTCTTCCAGTGTTATGTGCGTGGAACATTTCAAGGATTCTACCTCTGTGTTTCTCAAGTGTCCCTGGAGGACCTGGGATAAAGCAGCCATCAACAGAGAGGACCGTGAACGCCTGCTTCCACCCCCAGGGATAGGAGCTCCGGCCAAAAACAGCTCGTGGCAGGGAAAAGGGACACGTTCTTCTTTCCTGGCTCTATGCTAAAAATTCCCACACATTTTCCATTCTGCTCCAAAATTTGTGTGTCTATCTTAGCAGAAAAAAGGTTAAGATCGCAATTAAATTTCTCAGCTTTAATTTCTCACATATTTGGGTCAAACCACAAGCCTGCTTTAAAGCACCTTCCGAAATGAGGGTATCGCTACTGTCGTTAGAAAACCCTAACTGTGCACTGAGCAGTCGGGGTAGCTGCTCTCTGACAGAGATGACTTAGGTCGAACAGCAAAGCAGTCATGGGACGGGCCCAACGAGTCAGAGTTCCCGGGGAGAGGAGGCGTTGTGAGGGAATAAGGTAAGAGAAGCTGGGTGGGGGAGGGGGTGTCTGTGCAGTTCGTCCCCACGCGCGTGCTGTGGGAAGAGCGAGTCCATGTCGATAAGGACTCCCAACGCTACAGTAGAGCAGGACAAACGAAATGTTCGAAAGCAGCAGATTTCTTAAATTCTGCACAAGATTCACGGACACAACGATACCAGAAACCACAGGGACCCTGTTGTCACCTGAAAACCCAGGGCTGCGGACAGACGCTAAGGTTGTGGGGTATGGAGCGCTACGTGCCTGTAGAAAGCGTGGGTCTCCGTTATTGCTCGGTAGAGTCCGCTGGCTGCCCTGGTGCTGATCATCTTGAACAAGAGCACGACGCTGTTCCCAGACTCCTTGGTGACGGTCAAGTACACGTTCTTTCCCGACTGGGTGGCCATCTGCACCACAGGGTAAGCGATCCTGAAACCCGGGAAGAGAAAAGTGAGCCTGCCCTGGAGGAGTGATCTGTCACTGTGTGTGCACCTCTGCGGGATTCCCCTGTGCTCGGGACCCAGCAGTACGACCAGATGCTTGGTCTGGGACTGCACGTAAGCACCCCGCTCCCTGGTCAGAAAGTAGTTGTGGAGAGAAGTGCTGGAGTG